ACTGTGTAGCACAGGGAAATATATACAGGATCTTGTGGTGGCTCACAGCAAAAGAGAATGTAACAATGGATGTATGTATGTTCATGTATAACTGAAAAATTGTGCTCTACACTGGAATTTGACACAACATTGTAAAATGACTATAACTCAATAAAAAAGTTAAAAAAAAACAAAACAAAAAAACAAAACAAAACAAACGAAAAAGGACTGACAGAAAAATAGCCCCAAACTATGCATATTGACTATATGTTTCTCAAGACATGTAGGAAAAAACAATAAAAGAGTTGCATTCACACCACTGGATATCATGGGAGAAAAGGACCGAAAGCAAGAAGAAGAAGGCCACCTGTCTATGACCAGGTCTTCATTCCACCAGAGTCCATGGACAAGGGGCTGAGCCCAGGGGCAGAAGGAAGCTAAGAAATGGCTAGAGAAATAGTAAGGGAATTTTGCTAGAGAATTTTATATTTGCAATTAAAAAAAAATCTATTCCTAAAATGTTGTGCCTCCAAATTTTAGTTTCCTGGTGAATAGCTCTGGTGGCTTGACCTTAGTTTTTTTTTTTTTTTTCCAATGGGTAGTTTGGGTAGTAAATTAAATAGTCTTGTTCAAAAAAAAAATAAAAGGAAACAGGATTTCCACAGCTACAATATTATCAGATAAAAACGTTCAGTTTTCAACAACAAAAAGTCACAAGGCATACAAAGAAACAGGAATATATGACGCAGTCAAATGAAAATAACAAATCTATAGCAATTGTACCTTCTGAACAGGTACACAAGGAACAGTTGGTGAACTGACTAGAAGAAGACTTTACAACAACTGTCTGAAACATGTTCAAATAGCTACACAAGTGGGTGAAAAAAAATTGCCCAAACAAAAGGGAAATAACAGTTAAGTAGTAAGTACTATACAAAATTGAGCACCTGAAAAGGCCAATTTCTGAAGTGAAAAAAAAATCACTAGAAGGATCCGACGCAGAAAAACATTCCAGATTTGATGAAAGACACGGATATAAACACCTAAGTATCTCAATGAACTCCAAGCAGGATAACCTTTGAGACCCACATTGCGGCACATTATAATCAAACTGTTCAAAGGCAGAGACAAAGAGTGAATCTCAAAATCATCAAGAGAGAAAGGATCCCCAACAAGATTATCAGTAGACTTCTCAACAGAAATCTTGGGAAGCCAGAAAGCAGTGGGGCTGATACATTCAAGTCATTGAACAAAAAACGTGGCAAACAAGAATCCTGGATCAGGCAAGATCATCCTTCAATAATAAGGAGAAATTAAGGTATTGTCAGGGAAACAAAAGCTGAGGAAGTCCTTTACGACTACACCTGTAAAGGGAGTCCTTCAGATTGAAATCAAAGGAAACTAAACAATTATTCAGTTATTTGAAGAAATAAAGATATCTGAAAGTTAAATTATAGAAAATTTTAACAGCCAGTTTCATTATAACATTATCAGTGCACGTACTTGCTTTCCTACATGACTTCGGAGACTCTCACATGTTAAAATATAAGTCCCAGTTTAACCATTCATCATATAAAGATGTAATTTTGTGAAAACAATAATTGAAAATGGTGGGGACAGAGCTGTATACAATCAGATTTTTCTAGTGTTATTGATGGTAAACTGGTATAAATTAAAATTAGTATGCTCTAGCTTTAGGATAT